TGTGTGTGTGTGTGTGTGTGTGTGTGTGTGTGTGTGTGTGTGTGTGTGTGTGTGTGTGTGTGTGGGCGGGTTTTTCCTACAAAGTGGGGTATTTTTTACAAAAAAAAAGCAGCCAGGTGGGGACCGAAGTGAATTGGTCCCCACGGGTCCAAATGCATGTTACAGGTGTGGGGTTAGGTTTAGGACCAAGGTTTGGGTTAGTTTTAGGGTCAGGTAAGTTTCTGTGAGGTTAATTTTAGAGTATATGGTCAGGGTTAGGATATAAAGTCTAAAAAACATGAATGGAAGTCAATGGAAGGTCCCCACGGGGTCAAGAAACAAACATGTGTGTGTGTGTGTCTAACAACAGAGAAGTACAACCTCTTGAATTAATCATTTCTGCCACTCACTTTACACGCTTCTGACGGACCAGGCCACCTGGACCTGAAATGTTTCTTTTCACACACCCGCACACGAGCACACACAGTGTAAACACTGTGCCGTAAATACACCTGTGTCGAGCGTGTGAAGAGCAGCAGCAGCAGCTCACTGTTTATTGATGGACTGTCCAATTAAAAAGCCTTTCATCTGTTCTTGGCTGCTGTTCAGCCAATCAGAACTGCTCCTGGTGACACAGGCAGAACTATCAGTTCAATTAACAATCTGTAAACACAACCTGGTCTGGAAAATATTTTAGCAGATCTTTAGCTTCAAAACCTATTTTCTATAGGATAGAAAAGAACAGAAGCAGACAATATTAATGTTTGTACTGGTTTTCTTTTTTCCTTATTTTTTGTTTTAACCTACATTTATTAATTACACATTGAATAAATCCAGATTTTTTTCAGTAAAATGTTTGGTTTTTGTTGTGTTTAGGTGTGATCCTCTACATTCTCCTGGTAGGATATCCTCCATTCTGGGATGAGGACCAGCACAGACTCTATCAGCAGATTAAAGCTGGAGCTTATGATGTGAGTCTTAAACTCATGTGTTTGCGTGTTCTGATGTTCTGACCCAGGATCAAAACGTGTGAACAGCATCAAGGTTTTTCTCAGCTGGTTTTTGAGCCAAAGCATTTCAGGGCTGACGCCAGCAGATGTTGTTGAGCTGTCCTAATGCAAACTTTGTCTTTGGCCTTTAGTAATAGTTTGTCTTGCAAAGCAGCCCAGTGGAGTTGAGCTGTACATCTGTAAAACTCCCTTCACGTGTCATGACGACTCATTAAAACATGACTGGAGGTTTAGAAAATCACCTCTGGTGTGAAGACAGCCAGGATGTTACTGTTCTCAGTACTCACCCAGTAGGTGAATGGCAGACAGTATGTGCTGTTTTTGACATGTGGAGAGCATGTATGAGTCATTACAGCAGCATGGTGAGTGTGCAGTGAGAGTGGTGGCATGACTTGAAGTATGCAGTAATTTAGAGCACTGCCAGCATGACGAGGCATGTGGCCAGCATTGTTGATGCTGCTAAAAATCTTGAGAAACTTGAAGACAGTGGTGCATACAAGCCCAATGCTCCACATATGACCCTATATTTTCCCACCATGATGATGAACTGGAAGGTTGTGCATGCTTGACTCACAACTTGCACCTCTCTGAAGACCTGGCCTGGTCCATTCGCCTGCTCCACTGGCTTGGTCAATGACCTGGTCCACTGACCTGGTCCATTTACTTGGTCCACTGACCTGGTCCATTTACTTGGTCCACTGACCTGGTCCATTTACTTGGTCCACTGACCTGGTCCATTTGCTTGGTCCACTGACCTGGTCCATTTTCTTGGTCCACTGGCCTGGTCCACTGGCTTGGTCCATTTACTTGGCCCACTGGTCTGGTCCATTGGCTTGGTCCACTGGCCTGGTTCATTGGCTTGGTCCACTGGCCTGGTCCATTGGCTTGGCCCACTGGTCTGGTCCACAACCTGGCTGATGGACTTCATGCAGGGTGTCATCCTGTGATTTTTATGTCTTACATTGGTTTTCACATGTCTCTGAAGGTGAAAAGTTTTAAAGCATACTTGGACACATCGACTTATCATTTTAAAATTTGGTTTGCATAAATTGTGCTGAATACTAAAAAGGATAAGGGCAATTGATAGCCTAGGAGATTAGTTAGATTTCCAGATGGACCATTCTGTTTTTTATCAGTATGCAGTCTTTGGCTTTGGCCAAAGAAGTAAACGTCCTTTAAAAGCTATTCAGCAGTAAGTAATAAATGCAAGACCAAATTGCCATAAGAATGTGTGTGTGTGTGTACCATGTTTTTGTTACCTCATGGGAACAATGTTTTGGAGACAGACCACAGGGGGTTTCTGTCATCTTTTAACAGCTGGAGACAAATAAGAACRTTTAGAAAAAGCTTTACATGGGAGGCATTTGTTAGGAAGTGAATGTGTGGTAAAATGTTAATGTCTAGTTTGTGTTGTCACTCCAATAGTTCCCTTCTCCAGAGTGGGACACTGTGACCCCAGAGGCCAAAGACCTGATCAACAAGATGCTGACCATTAACCCATCCAAGAGAGTCACTGCCACAGATGCACTCAAACACCCCTGGATCTGTGTAGGTGTCTCACAAAACCACTTTGTGTCTTCACCATCACCAAACGCACTCAAGGCTTCATTTTCTGTTTTTACAGCAACGTTCCACTGTGGCCTCCATGATGCACAGACAGGAGACTGTGGAGTGTCTCAAGAAATTCAACGCCAGAAGGAAACTCAAGGTACAGAAAACATCTTCTTTTTCTAAAGGGTCATATGTTTCTGTATCAGTATAACTTCATGTAGCTCAGTTCTCATCCTGCTCTCTCTCTTCAGGGAGCCATCCTCACCACGATGCTCGCCACTCGCAACTTTTCAGGTTGGACTGAATTTTTTTCCCTCTATTTAATCTGTACTTCTCCTGCCACTTGTTGTCTCTACTCAAAATACCAGCAGCACTGATGACATTTTGACCACTGAGTCCTTGTCAGGTCTGTTTTGTGAAGTATTGGATTATTGTTGACATGCTGCTTTTTAGAYCTCAGCAGTGTTTCTTCTGTTGAGCTTCATCTATTGTTCCAAACACCAGAGACTGAAGGAGCAAACAGATCAATGAAGTCTCACCTGACTGTCTCATTTAAAGGCCATCCCATTCAGATAGTATTGAMTGTTGAATGCTTACATTTTACCTTCAGTGTCATTTTAGTTGTGAGTATTAAATCAGTGTCAGTGCAATTTCCTCAGCATTTCCTTTTGTCTTTCTTCCCCCTCCTCTTGATTGGTCACACACCTGTAAGGTAAGTCTTTACCTCAGCCGGCACTGCAGGACTGCACGTTTTGTTCTGAGGCATGCCGAATGAAACACCAGTGAAGAGCTTTAATGTGGCAGAATTATTCTCTTAGTAACCACATCAGAGGACAACATTTTTAAGTGAATTTTTATTTAATTTTCTTTATTAAAGTTAGTTGTATTTCAGYTTTGAGGTTAATTAAACCTATGCTTTGACACATGGCCTGTAGGACATAGCTTACAGTTTGAATTGGATGAATAATTAAATGTAAATTATGATATTTCATTGTTTTAAAGAGGTTACCAGTTTACAACTCCTTGGCTGTAMCTGACCTGCTGCCTCAGTTTTGTCATTAAAGATCTCTAAATCATTTTACCACAGTGAGCGACCTATCTGAGCAGCACAAGTCCTGCAGTCCCAGCTGTAAACAGCAGGGGGCACTGCAGMGAAATACAGCTGCACAGCTGGAATCCATCCATCCATTTTCTGTACACGCTTCTTCCTTTTCAGGGTTGCGTGGGTCCACAGCTGGAATGAAAGCAGGAAAGTTTACAGGAAGTTTAATCTTATACAAAACTTAACTCTAGTTTAAAGTTTGGGCATTGTGGGGATTAACATTTCAGTATAATTTTAAAAACATTAGTATACAGGTAGTACAAGTTTTTTTTGGATATCCCAGTAAACTACAGTATAAATAGGGCTGGGTGATACCATACATATCAAGTTGTACGGATTGTCTGTAATTTACACGGATTTTCCCTCATTTTGCAGGTATATGGACGTATAGAGGAATCTCATGAATTTTTTCAAGTTTTACAGATATTTTCAAAAACTGTTTCAAATTTATTTAACATGTCAGATCCTGTAGGGCATTAAAAAACATCCTCCAGCTTTGGGCTGCTGTCATCTCTGTGGCTGACTGTCCACCTGCACCCACCCACCCTTGTGTGTGTGATTAATAGGAATGATTATATATTTTTTTTATTTCTGATTTTTGATACTCATTATACAGGTAAACATCCGAAGGGGTCGACATGTATGTGAAATGGCTGAAAAATGTATCATGATTGAAGCGTTCCATATTGGTCTATCTATAAT